GGTCTTCGTATCAGGTATTTTAACAATCAATATATATTCAATGGCATTAATAGTTATATGTAATAATTCTTCATGGCAAAAAGCACATCTGATACCCAAAATTAGGACAACCTACAAATAAATAATATTGAAATTTCAACTAATCTTGCAAATATCGATTATATCTGTACCTTATAAAGTAAACTTGTTTCGTTATCAGCATCTAGAATAAATTTATTGATATCATCCCTTAACAAAGCTTCAGATTTCTTTCCTCGGTATCCAACGCTTTTGTTATCAACGAGCGGGACCAATTTTGAAAACTTATTTATATCAATCCTTGATATTCAATATACTTTTCAACATTGATGACACTCCATAACATAAGAGGTTTTATAATTTTTCATTTTTTCTCAAAATAGCATAAAAGTACATTTTCAGAAACCTTTTTTTATACGTTTCTTGTCGCACCATTCACAAAATTGGTCATATGTTTTCTCATATACTAACTTGGATTTGGCCGGTATTATATACTATTGCATTTGCTTTCTCAGATATATCTAATGGAGAATCACTATACCACTATTATAATCAACATTTTATCTTTAGGATCAAGATCTTCAGATGATGTGGTGCTGCAATGAAGTCGCTCCGGAGCGCCAATTAATTTTTATTGTTGTTTTTATTTTTATCGTTATTAATTCAATAATTAATAGTTATTTATGTATCAAGGGAATTAGGAGGGCCTTAATTACCGATGGCAAAGTTTGCGTCCCGAGGGCCTCTGGCCCGAGGGACAGCAATTGCCTGAGGTTATTAAGGCTCATTAATTCCCGTGGTACATAGATAATTTTATTTCTGACCGATTTCAATAAAATTTTGTTCATTTTTGAAACGGAAAAATGTACCAATTCATTACCTTCCCGGTATATTTGAATCAGGTACCGTTGATTATAGTAGAGTTTTCTTGTTGCTAGGTTGTTGCTATGTTACTTGTTTATAAACAGAACTTTGTTATCAAGCTGTGTTTGCGGTGAAAACGTGTTTTCTACCCCAAA